CCCAGCAATTTTGAAATTTTGCTGAAAAATTATACCTTGGGTAAAACTGGTACAACTCTGCCTAACAGTCGATTTTGATAAAATGCCCCAAGATTCAGGATTCAACAAGAGTTCAGGAAGGCTCACAAAGTTGAAGGTCGGTGCCCCAGAAATGCGAAGCTTTTGTTTTTTTTTTTTGTCTTGTGATCTCAGTGCCGAAAACTCTGAACTATTTGCGCTTACTTTTTCAAACGCAGGAAGATAACGGTTTTTTATTTTCTCTTTGACCTCCATTATCTTGGCATCTTTTTCCCCAGGTGGGCACAATGGCAAAAGCATGATCATTTCACCCAAATCGAACACACCTTCTGCATACATATCAATCCTGAAAGACAAAATAACAAAACTGTCCAATGGCTCCTACCTTAGATCTTATAGTTTTAAGAAAGTATAAGAACTGGGCATTAGGAGGTGGTAAAGTAACTCACTCCACTGTGGTGTTAATACAACAATCATTCTGCTGTGATTTTTTTTTCATAATTTTAACATTTCATTCTAGAACAAGTCATCAAGGGAGACAGATGTCTAATATATTTAATATACACATGACCACATATAAGGACAGAGCACATCAGTGACCCATCCAGAGTCACAAGCATGAGAGAAATGGGTGGAATCACCCCAGGTGGTCCTGAGACCACACCTAGGGTCTGCCACCTCTGCTGGGCTGTGTCCTGTGCACAATTTGTGTGATGCTCTGGCACCACCTCAGCCATGCCCAGAGAGAGTCCTGGCACAGAGACCCCAGTCCTGCCCCCTCCCTCCCCCATCCTGACACACCACCAGGCCCCCGAACGTGCCCAATACCAGCACTTCCTCCAATTATTTCCCACAGAACGTGGTGCCACAGCCCTCTCCACGTGCCGTTGCCCAACTCTGGTCTCATGTGCATCCCTCCCGACTCCACCCCAAATGTGCCCTGAAATAGCGCAGCTCCTCATGCAGCTCCAGCAGTGCCTAGTCCAGGTGAGTTTGAAGCCCAAACAGGGCTTTCTACAAGAGTATTTTTAAATAAAAACTTTATTGAAATATAATTCCCATACCATAATGTCACTCTTTTCAAGTATAAAATTGTGTGATTTTTTTTGGTAAAGTTACAGAATCCTGTACCATCATCACACTCTAACTCCAAAATAGTTTGATCACTCTCGAAAGGAATACTGAGTGCTTTTTGAGGTTTTCAACATTCTTCCCACTCTCCAGCTTCTGGCAGTCACTCAACTACTTTGGTTTTAAGGATATGAATGTTCTGCACATGGCACACAAATGGAATGATACAATATGTGCCATCTGTGTCTGGCTTCTCTTATGTAAGAGATTATTTTCAAAGTCTATCCATGTTGTTGCATGGACCTGGACTTCATTCCTTTTCATGGCCAAGTAATATTCCGTTATATTGCCATACTACATTTTGTTCATCCATTCATCACTTAGTGGACATTTGCATTATTTCTACTTTTTGAATACTATGAACAAAAACTCTATGAACTTTTGTGTACAAGCTTCAGTGTGGCTCTGTTTTTAATTCTCATGAGTAGTGAAATGGCTGAGTCACGTAGTAACTCTAGGTTTACATTTTCAGTAACTGCTGAAGTTACTTACCTGATTTTAATTTCAATTATGTGGTCCTAACACAACAGAGAGGTGACTGCCTCTCACCATATGGTTTTATTGATAAATCTAGCTGATTCAGTTTGTATACACATGCTTGATGTAACCCCACCTTGGGATCAACCTTGTCAAGTGGCCAGTCTATAAAAGACCTGATAAAGTAGGTTCCTGGTCATCATTCTTCTAATTTCTGGAACTTGGATATCAACCCTTTCAGATCCTTCCCTTCCCAGGCATTATCCTCTAGACACTCAGATATTTGTCCCTTGACTTTAACTGTTGGAGGGTGTCCTGCTCAAAAGAGCCTGGACTGTGGAGGCCATGGTTCCACCATCCTCCTGGCTTCATAGTTCATCCGTGTTTGGAAACCTCTGTCACTGTGCTGTATCCATGCACCACATCCTCTTACACAAGCTCACTGGCTTGATTCCACCCCAACTTTACTCTTTCCTCATCCTCATAGGTCTCTGCACTGCTGGACCTCAGTTACCCCCACTAAGTCCTATCGCCCTGTTGGTCAGGATCCCCTGCCATGTTCCTGCTCAGTCAAGGATGGACCTGAATTGTTGAGGAAGAACTAACTGTTGAGGAAGAAAACAGAAGCAATACCGTACAGGGCTCTCTCCTTTATGTCTTTCCCATAGAGGTTGTATTTGGTGGCGATGCAGTTGAGAATGGCTCTGGTCTGCACCAGCTTCATCCCATCGATTTCAACCATTGGCACTTGCTGGAACATCAGACTCCCATCTTTGGAAAGAAGAAACGAAGTAGAGGGAAATAATTGAGGAATCATACTATTGAAGTGGAGGGAAATGTTTTATGAATCAAAATGTTTGTTGAAATGACTATTTCCCATTCGGATCATAGTAGGTTCCTGTATTTTTATGTTTTGATTTTTTCCTTCATGGTTTTTTCAGGAAGAATATGAAAGAGGGTCCACCAGCTGGTTGCCGAGGCAAATGGGAAGCTCCCCTAGGAAGTCTCACAGGGTTCATGGCATGAAGGCCAGTTCTAAGAGAGACTCCTGTGTAGAGTGTCTTCTGTGCTCTTCAGATCCCACCCCTGGAAGGTGAGCAGGGAGGCCCGTTTTCCCAGCCCCACCGCTGCGGGCCTGGCCCTTTATCTCCCTCCTCACACACTCACTCGGTCTTCCCTCTAATTCAGCACCACCTGGTTGTCTCAGTCTGCTGTGTTGCTACGACACTGCCTTGCCAAACCCGTCAGAGAAAAGAATTCAAGGGAGCTGCTGGGCCTGTTTCTCCTCTCTTCTCTCTAAAGCATGTGCTTGCATGTCCCTGGGATCCTGAATGCACACAGCTCACTCAGGGCGCAGAAAGGCAGGAGACAGCGAGGACGGGGCATTCTTGGGCACTGGGACAATTCCTTTAGCGAATACTCAGACTTCCAGCCCATCCTAACCCTGAGTGGGTTGCAAGACCTGCTCAAGGAGCCCCACCCCTACCTTTACCACGTTTCTCCCTCTCCAATGGCCCCACTCCCACTGTGCCCACACATGGCATAGCTGGTGTTAAAATTGGAACTTTTGACTTCTACTAGATACTCTCATTAGAGGAATTTAGATTCTTGGACTTACCATTTCTTAACTTATCCAAGTCTTCTGGAGTTTCTATAAATTTCTCATCAAACTGAAAAGCAGAAAGAGCCAATGAGTTCTTGTTAATTCATGCCATAGCATGATTGAACTTGAATGGCCCCTGTCCAGTACAGACTATGGAGAAGGTAAAATTCTGAGTTTGGCAGGGATGCACAGAGGAGAGTGATCCTGGCCATCAGGAAACTTAGAGCCACCAAGATAAAAGCATGGGATGGAACACATAACTGCTCATGTTAACGGTTCAATTCACTTTCACTCTGTCTCTACTTCTGCCAATGACTAGGTCATGATTTGGGAGGGGGATGTCACTGGAGGGAAGGGGCTGAGAAGTTCTCTAGTTTTAATATCTCTGGGAAGCCTTTCTCTCCCTGTGAGATCAGGACAGGGTATTGGGTGTCCCCCAGCATGTGGTGTCCAGGAGGCCAGTCACGCCCAAGATGCTGCCAACAGGGTCCTCTGCTGTAGATTACCTCCTGCATTCAGCTTTTTATTTAGAAAGGGGTCTTGCTGGTGAAAAGTGTGGGGACTGGGGGATCCTACCTTGCTCAGTGGGACACTTCATTATCAATCTGTGTGATCCCATAGGTCAGACCATACAGACAGTGAGGTTGTGGGCAATAATCTATAAAGTGCTCAATTTAGGACAGCATAAGGGATGGTGGGTGGTCACTGTGGCAGGGTCTTTGAGGTGCAATGGGGCTGGCTGGTGTGATGTAGCTAGTGAGGCTGGGGAGCTGGATGGGGGCGTGAGGACCACCCAGAAGTCCTGACCAGGAGCCTCTGGGAAGCCCTGCCCCCGCCCTCCTCAGTCAGGCGGGACTGGACAAGAGGAGGCCTGGGGTGCTCTCAGGGTCTCCCCTCCTTCCCCCTGCTGTGCTGAGCTCATCCTGCCCAGGGACTTTGAACACATCCTTGAACCCTACAGCTGGACCACAGTGAAAACTGTTGGTTGTTGAGTTATAGAAATTAAACACACTAGTCTGGCACTATTTTCATTTTCTGTGTACTTGTTTCTTCATGAACTTGAGACAGGACCAAGCCAACGTCCCGTGCACTTGTGTAAACCCGAGGCCCAGGGAAACATGTTGATAGGAGGCCAAGGGAGCACACCAGGGGTTTCCCTCATGGGACGCCACCTCTCCTGAAACCCTCCTTTACTGCTCCCCCTCCCCCCAGGTACCAGGTCTCCAGAGTCTGTCCTTGATCCCCCTCCTCAGGACTCCCTCTCTGACTCCCTCTGACCTGGGCTGAGAAGTGCTTTTCTCAGTGACACCTCTAGAGGGCAGCACTCAT